GGTGGTCCCCATTGAGGGAGAAAGGTGTTCACCTCTTTTTACGGTGCCCATTCTTCCTCGGTGCCCTCAGGGGCCCGTTCTGCCAACCCCGCCTTCATGCCGGGGCGTAGACGGTCCCAGCGAGTGCTTTCCCGAGGGACGCTCGCCGCCTCTGACACTGAGGGTGGTCCCCATCGAGGGAGAAAGGTGTTCACCTCTTTTTACGGTGCCCATTCTTCCTCGGTGCCCTCAGGGGCCCGTTCTGCCAACCCCGCCTTCATGCCGGGGCGTAGACGGTCCCAGCGAGTGCTTTCCCGAGGGACGCTCGCTCCCTCTGAGGAGGGTCTCAGAGCGGTCAAACTAGTTGTTCCCTGCCGGTGCGCCGTTACAGGGTGCTGTGTTTGCTGCTCAAATTACACCAGAGACCAGTCTCGAGAGACTGGTACCCTTAGTAGAATTTGTTTGGCAGAGTGGAAAAGCCTTCCAAGAATATCTCAGTGGGTCCTGGAGACAGTAGTAAGAGGTTATGCGATCCAATTTAGGTGTCATCCACCGAGACTCAGAGGGGTTCTGCCCATAGTGTGGGCCCCGAGCAGGCTCTGGTAATGGAACAAGAGGTGAAAACGCTCCTTCAAAAGGGGGCTATAGAACGGGTTCCTCCTCCCAGTTTGGAGCTAGGTTATTACAGCCGATATTTCATCGTTCCAAAGTAGGATGGGGGGTTGCGTCCAATTTTAGATTTGCGCCTATAAAATCGCTCGGTAGGGAAGCTCAATTCAAGATGCTCACTATCAAGCAGGTCGTGTCACAAATCAGGTCCGAGGGCTGGTTTGTCACGATAGATCTAAAGGACGCTTACTTCCACATTTCCATACTTCCACAACACAGGAAGTTCCTGAGGTTTGCCTTCGGGGGCAAGGCATTCCAGTATAGGGTTCTTCCGTTCGGTCTAGCTATCTCCCCGTACTTTACGGAGCAGATGGCGGTTCGACATCGAGATGTCGTCCTCGCGCATATCAGGAAGTTGGGGTTGAGGCTGAATGCGGAGAAAAGTGTTTATCTCCTTCCCTGGAGACCACTTTTCTGGGCGTTGTTTGGGATTAGGTCACCCGCATCGCTTCGATTCTTCAGCCTTGAAACAGTAAAGCTAGGCCAGCTACTCACTGTAAAGCAGTTTCAGAAACTGTTGGGTTTGATGGCAGCAGTGTCCAACGTTATACCTTGGCCTGTTGTACATGAGACCGCTGCGGTGGTGGCTCAGGACCAAGGGATTCTCCCCGAGGGGAAATCCACTCCGCACGATCAAAGTCACGCAGCGCTGCCTTCGTGCTCTGGTCTTGTGGAAAGAAACTTGGTTCCTATCCAAAGATCCTGTGCTGGGGGCTCTTTGTCGTCGCGTAAAGCTAACGACGGATGCTTCCCTCACAGGGTGGGGGGCAGTCATGAGTGGTCGTCCAGCCCAAGGTCTGTGGCAGGACCATCATCTATCAGGGCATATAAATTGTCTAGAGATGTTGGCGGTGTTTCAGGCTCTGAAACACTTCCTAGCAGACCTGAGAGGTCATCATGTGCTAGTTCAGTCAGACAACACGTCGGTGGTCTCTTATATAAATCGTCAGGGGGGCCTGCGGTCTCGCCGGCTTTACAAGTTGGCCCGTCAGGTCCTCCTGTGGTCCCTAGGGAAGTTACTATCACTGAGAGCAATGTATCTTCCTGGGTATTTGAATGTGGTAGCGGACTCTCTGTCGAGGCAGGGGCCGAGGCCGGGGGAATGGAGACTCCACCCCCGAGGTGGTGGAGCTCCTTTGGGTTGAGTTTCGGTCGCGCCGAGGCGGACCTATTCGCTTCCAAGGAGATATCGCACTGTCGTCTATGGTTCTCCTTCAGTCATCCAGCCCCTCTGGGGTTGGACGCTATGGTGCAGCCGTGGCCGAGGTCACGTCTGTACGCTTTTCCCCCGATTGCTCTGCTACCAGGAGTTCTGGAGAGGGTTCGCCGGGACGGGGTCAGCCTACTATTAGTAGCCCCGTTCTGGCCGGCCCGAGTATGGTTTGCGGACCTGGTTTCTCTCCTGGACGGCTCTCCTTTGGAGCTCCCGGTCAGGAGGGATCTACTCTCTCAGGCGGGCGGCATGATATTTCACCCCCGCCCAGAGTTATGGAAACTGTGGGCTTGGCCTCTGAGGGGGCCCAGCTCTTAGATTCCGGTCTCTCAACCGAGGTTGGTGAGACCATCCTTCACTCCAGAGCTCCATCCACGAGGAAGCTATATGCCTTTGAAGTGAAAACTTTTCACTTCTTGGTATGGAGAACACCTGTAGGACCCAGTTAACTGCCCAGTGGGTGCAGTGCTGGAATTCCTGCAGGAGCGTTTCTCCACAGGGTTATCCCCCTCCACACTAAAGGTGTATGTGGCGGCACTGGCTGCTTACCACGTCCCTTTCAGTGGAGTTTCTCTTGGGAGACACCCGCTTATAACTCGTTTCCTTCGTGGCACTTTGAGGCTGAGGCCAGCAGTTCGTGCCTGGAATTTTCGCCTGGTATGGTTAAGGCTTTTCTATACCCTAGGCCAGGTTATGTTCCTAAGGTCCCTACTAATGTTGTTAGACCTACAGTTCTGCAGGCTTTCTGTCCTCCTCCATTTCTGTCGTCAGACCAGGAGAAACTTAATTTGCTCTGCCCAGTGAGGGCGTTAGACGCTTATGTCCACAGAGCTGCCCTGTGGAGGAAATCAGAACATTTATTTGTATGTTTCGGGCCACCCAGGAAAGGGTGTCCTGCGTCTAAATAGAGAATGAGCAAGTGGGTGGTCGAGGCTATCTCACGTGCTTATGAGTCGGCTGGTCAGCCTTCACCTTTGGCTGTACGAGCCCGCTCTACCAGGAGTATGGCTGCATCCAAAGCTTTATTGTCAGGAGTGTCCCTGAGTGAGGTTTGTGATGCGACTGGATGGTCTTCACCGTGCAGGTGCTCTCGTCCGCTGTGCGCTAGATCTCACATGACGGTCACTTGCTCCTATGGCGACGTGGGTATTCGCGTTCCCACAGCGTTTGACGCAGCTCGAAGTTCCCTTGAAAGGGAACATCTCGGTTAGGTATGTAACCCTAGTTCCCTGATAGGGAACGAGACGCTGCGTCGTTCTGCCATACTCCCGGCATTCCCGTTAAGCGCTCCTTCAGGCCTATCAGAAGCTGATGCGCTTGTGTTTTTGGGGTGCTTTATAGTTTCCTGGTCGATGACGTCACCCGCCTATGACGTTCCGTCTCTCCATTGGGCTGATTCCATACGTGCTTCATGACGCACAACGCAGGGGCGTTCCCACAGCGTTTGACGCAGCGTCTCGTTCCCTATCAGGGAACTAGGGTTACATACGTAACCGAGACGTTCTTCAGTATTAGCGGCTCGTTTTAAAGAGTGTCCTGTTCTCCGGCCGTGTGTGAGCCTGTGTTTATTGATTTCACTGCTAACTAAATCGTCAGTCACAGCTAACAACATTTCGGTAACGTTCCCATTAAGATATTAAATATGATATGTTCTCTGAACCTTCAAAACATCCCGTTTTTAAAATGTTTTAAAAACGGTTGGTTATGTGAACGTTAATGGAACATTGCATTGTATCATTCTTCAAACATTATGTAATGTTACTTTTGAATGTTCTCTGAACGTTCCGAAACAAGTAGTTACATTTAAAAAACGTTAAATGACCGTCCAACTGAAATGTTTCAGAAAAATATATATTGTTACAGCCCTAATGTATAAATGATTTTATTGTGCTAATGTTTTGAGATCATTATTAAAGTCCAGATAACTTTGAGTGAGTGTTCTATTAATGTTACTGGAAGAACGTTTGTTAGCTAAACTCCTGAGAATGTGTCCTGTTAGCAGGGTTACTCATTGTTACGTATATTACAAAATGTGTCGAATTGATGTATTTAATGAAAGGAGTGAACAAAGACTGCTCTGATTGAATCCTCTAGCCGTTGTCAGAAAGCCTTTAATAAATCAATTGAATTAAAGCTATATTGGTGTGTGTGTGTCAGGTGGCGAGCGCGCTGGACTCGAACCCCACCGCTCGACGCACTCAGCTACAGCACAGGTTCGAGCAGGTCGTGGCTCTGATGGAGGACAACATCTACGAGTGCAGCAGCGAAGCCTGATCGTTTGAGGATCCTCAGGTGAAGAGAAACAGACGCTTGCTCTCCGCTCTATAGTATTCAAGCATTGACTTCAGTCGAGGAGGTTGTTTAATTGTGACGCACTGACCCCACACTCGGGGAGAGCCAATTATGCACTGGATTATACAAGACCTTCTCCATAGCAATATTTATACCTGTATGATGAGTTTCTAGTGTGATTCAATCAATGTGGACAACGTTTCTGATGCGACGTTTGTGCCTGCACTGTTCAATGGCGTTTCTCTCTAATTCCACGATGCCTTGGACAACAAGTAATGATATGATTAACATATAATAGGCTTGAATGAAAGTGTTGCATTTGTATTATTATTTTTTATGAAGGTTTTGATCATTCTTGGAAGAGTCCAAACCAAAATGTGTGCATTCTTCTGTGAAGTTTTTTGGAGAAAGAGGGAAATTTTATCAGTAAAGACAAACTTTACTAAAACGTGTGTCATGTACAGTTTTCTTTGTCATGTTTCCAAGCGCAAGTTTCACATGAGCTTTCATCTCTGTATTTTTAATCTGCAGGCAAATTCATATCCTCACACATTGACATATTCAATCTTACTTCTTCCACAGACAACATTTATACATCTAAAAGTTCACAGAATGGTTTTGTTAGCGTTTCTCCTGAGGTCTCTTATGGCTCCAGCGCTCAGAATCACTTCGTCAACAGCAAACTCGGATTCAAAACATCAGCCTACAATAGTCAAAATGTACAAATTCATAACTGATCATAGCTACATATTCATCTAACACCTGGAGAATCAGCAAACGCTGGTGAAGCCGAAGCTAGTGGAACAGACATTGAAAGGATTTCCCATATAAATGCACAGTTGCAGAATTATAGAGATCTGACTGGACAGAATAAGACGACGTAGCGATGGAAGTAGATTTGAGATTTGAGGAGCGCTGTTGGGCCTGTAGGAGTCTGCGTGCCGGACCGGTCCGGTTCGGAACCGCTGGGAGGTTCAGGCGGGAGCCACTTGAGCGGACGAGACCACCGAGGACTGAGTCTTACTGGTCATCATACTGGTCTCCTCCTCCCCGAATGGGTTCTTCCCACAGCAGACCGTCGTGAGCATGCAGTTCCGGAACTGAACCAAAGCAGTTAACAGTTACTTTGGTGAAATGTGTAGAACTTGTGCTTTCTATAGAAACTAGGGGTGTCCAATGTCAACTGTGTCCACCTTAGACCCCCAATAATTTCATTAAAGTTTAATGGGTACTCTGTTTATTAAAATTGCTATGTAAGATGGAAAATTAACAAAGCTACAAATTGCTACAATTACAGTCCTAGACTCTGTTCATGAAACCGGCAAATCTGGACTAGTACCCCAGTTGTAGTGTCTAATAGATTCGCTCTATTAGATTTAAAACCAAACTTTAAGAATCAAGGTCAGTTACTCTTACTACACTGGAACTGGGATACATTTTAAGGTAACACTTTACTTGAAGGGGTGCACATAAGACTGACATGACACCTTCATAACCACGACATGACATATGTCATGAATATGAAGTAGGGTTTATGCATGTTTATGACAACTGTCATTAAGTGTCATTCGCTCAATAATGACATTTTGAATGCAAGTATGACATTGTTTAAGATGTCTTTGTTATGACACCTTGACATAAACCATAACATCATAACCTGTCAGTGTCTTTGTCATGACAAATTGACATTAAATTAAGTTAAACTGTCATGTGGTTGGTTTTGACATTGGCTGTCATAAGGCCATTATAACTGTGTCATGAATATTTTTCGTGACCTCAACTACAGTGGTACACATTGAATTTGTCATTAAACAGTTATAATGGCTTCATGACACCCAATGTCAAAACCAACCACCTGACAGTTTAATGTAATGTTAACCAATAAAGCTCAGTGGTTTCTTAAGTTTGATAATTAATCTGCTATGTCATGTTTATGACAGGTTGTGTTGTCTTAGTAATGTCAAGTTGTCATGACACTGACAGGTTATGATGTATTGGTTTATGTCAAGGTGTCATAACAAAGACATCTCAAACAATGTCATATTTGCATTAAAAATGTCATAATTGAGCGAATGACACTTAATGACAGTTGTCACAAACATGCATAAAACTTCCTTCATATTCATAACATGTGTCATGTCATGGTTATGAAGGTGTCATGTTAGTCTTATGCACACCCCTTCAAGTAAAGTGTTACCCATTTTAATAATGGCCATTGTAGTGTAATTTAAAGGATGGCACAGTGCCGTCTCATCTGTGTTTTAATGTTTAATGTGTTTAAGTCTTCACAGTGCTTTAATGCAGACTATATGAGGAGCCATATGGTGTTACAAAGGTACTGATATACAGTCATATTACTGCCCTAATGAGGGAGTCATTGAATTATTCACTCAACCGATGTGAGTCAAAAACACTGATTCATTCAGGAATGAGACAGCACTAGTGTGTGTTGCTTACACACACAATAGTTAATTCTGTGTGTGTTTAGAACAGTTTGCATCACATGTAAGCATTTGGCAGACGATTTATCCAACATAACTTACATTGCATTCAAATTGTTCATTTAATCTGTTCATGCATTCCCTGGGAATTGACCTTAAGACCCTCGTGCTCTTCTATTGCTGAATTATTGACCTTAAGACCCTCATGCTCTTCTATTGCTGAATTATTGATGGTAGACCAACAACAAAGTAACTGGCAACATTGTGTCTAAAGTGCGTTATCATCAGTTAAAAGGCATATACAGTAGAGGACCAAAAGCAACAAAACTTTTATTTTGATGTAATTGGGCTCATGATCACTTTCTCAGCCCTAAATATAACATAACACACATACACGAGTATTAAAGAGCGTGAGTCACAGTCTCACCTGTCTGTTGAGTATGATGTAGATGACCGGGTTGTAGAGCGCTGCACTCTTGGCAAAGAAAGCTGGTATCGTCATGGCGACAGGACCAAATTCAGTCCCCTGGTTAGCAAAGATGTACCAGGCCACACTGGCATACGGCACCCAGCACACTAGGAACGCAATCACCATGACGATCACCATACGCGTCACTTCCCGCTCGGCACGCTGGGTCGTCTCTGATTCCTGCTGTTGAGCAGCAGCCTGACAACAGAGCATAAAAACATGACAAAACAGTCCTAGATGCTGATTGGTACAATTCTATAGTACCATACTTGATTATGGTGTGAAACACTGGCTCATCGCTGCATAGCAGCCCTAGAGGTCAACTAACCCGAGTTTATATGTCAGCACTAGATCTTGTGGCCTTTATCTAGAAATGGCTTAGTAAAAGCATTCCAAGACTGGTGGGTTATCAATTCCATGGATGCTAAATGTTCTTAATGGAACCATCAATGCTAGTAAAGATGCTTTATTTTGTGCAATTGCGTAAATGGTCATCAAAACTGTTTGGTTTTCCAACATTCTTTTCAAATAATCGTCTCCTGCGTTCTGCAGAAGAAAGAAAGTCATACAGGTTTGGAATGACATGAGGGCGAGTAGATGATGATATCATTTTCATTTTTGGGGAACCATACCTACAGTTCTTCTCAATTAACCAATAAAATGAATTTGGCTGATCTGGTCAGAACACCTGTCAGGTAAACAACTAAATTATGATCGTTATGAAAAAGCTCTTATGACTCCAATTAATTGGTCAGGCAATATTTTTACAAGTTGACCCATATCTGCTGAATGCCATGTCCAATCACCCATAGACATGACACACACAGAGAACCGGACATTCTGAGGACGCACACCAAGTTTCATAAAATAACGCCAATAGGGGGAGCTACAACTGAAAACCACATGATCCATGAAGTTGAAAAGTGGTATGCATATCCTCTAATATGACTAGTGAAGGGGGATTCTGGAACCCACTGCTACTTCAATCTATACCTAATGAGTGATTATAACCAAGGTATTCATCAATATTGTTCCTTCTAAATATCAAATGAGTTGAATGAAATTCTCTAGGCTTCTGAGATTTTACTTTGTTATGGAAGTTACCAGTGTGATTACTGAAATGTTTTTTTTCATGTATTCTCTAATGTCTGTATTTGATATCTGAGCTGTGACTGAAGGTCTGGCCCGTGTCAGGAATACAGGAACAGTCCTTGCTCATTTAGCCCGGCTTCCAGAGATGAAATATGGACTCGTTTTGTTTGAGAACGGTCTTCGACATGTTAAAATATATATATATATATATATGTATATAGTCTTTCTTTTACTGTTAGATTAATGTGTCTTCATTGAGAGAAAGAACATGTTATCTGGATGTTTTGGGAAGAGTCTCCTGTGTATAGTTAGAGCCTGGCCAAATCCAACCTTGAAGAAGCTGTGCGTGTGTTAGCATTCTTGGTTACAGGGTAAGGAACACGTGGCATTATTGGAGATTTGACTGGCTTGTTTTCTTCAACATGCTGGAGCCTAGACACAGTGTTGTGACCTCGGAGGGCCACTGGTCCCTAACTCAGGGTCCTGGGGGCAGCCGTACAGACTATGGAGATGTGCTACTGCCTATCTGTCCATGAGTTTATCTATTACTTAGTCAATCAGAATCATTCAACCTGAAGCAATGATGTAGCTTAGAGCTGGTGAAGGGTATAACTGCTGATCTTTGTCACTGTAGGAGCGGCCTATGAACTCCTGTGAGTGTTGAATCTGAACTTCTGCTGATGAAACTGCAAACTATCTTCAGTAAAACTTTTCTTTAATTTATTATAATTCTGACTCTTGTCTTAAATTGTCTGCACGTCTAACTCTTGGTCTTAAATAATCCTATCTAGTCCTTGGGTCCTTGACTGTAAATCCCCTAACACTGGGATCCTTCAAAAACATGGCCGCCTGCCAATCAAATTTCAGCATCAAATCTGAGATCAAATCTGAATGGCCTACCATTACAAAAATGGGAAATATCCATACATTGTGTGAAAATGAATATGTGTACCAAATTTTGTGAAAATTGGCCACAAGGTGGTTCTATAAGTAGCAAAGGATAAGTAATATAATCTTCCAATTTAAGTGCAATAATCAGATATATTTTTATTTCAACAAACTGTTCACAAGAACCAATTCACACAAATGAGTCTGACTTTCCAGCTCTGGTGTGTGTGTGTGTGTGTGTGTGTGTGTGTGTGTGTGTGTGTGTGTGTGTGTGTGTGTGTGTGTGTGTGTGTGTGTGTGTGTGTGTGTGTGTGTGTGTGTGTGTGTGTGTGTGTGTGTGTGTGTGTGTGTGTGTGTCTTACCGCGCGGACAGTGCAGAGCAGACGACTGTAGCAGAAGAAGATGATCAGCAGTGGGATAAAGAAATGCAGGATGAACATGTAGATGACAAACGAGGTGTTGTTGATTTCCGGTTTGGGAGTGTAGTAATCTATTCCACAAGAGCACTGCATCCCCTCGGGAATATATCTGCACACACACACACACCAATGTACGGCTTTTGTTATTATAGTCTAACCCGCCAAATGTCTCTGCATTCATCACACCAGTATGTTTATTAGGCTTGAATGCACTCTCAGATTATACTGTCGTGGGAAATTTAGTTAGAAAAATCAGTTTCTAAACCTGCGTGTTATGCTGAAGCGTAATTGATTACCTGGACCAGCCCAGTAGGGGCGGCACGGCGCAGGTGAGGGCCATGACCCAGGTGAAGCCCACTCCCATGATGGCGTGCTTCTCACCAAAACGAAACGTGCTCATCGGTTTACACACGACAATGTAGCGCTCAATAGCCAAGACCACCAGAGACCACAGCGCAATCTCACCTGAGAAACGTAGAGAAGATCATGATCACTCAGTTCAGGTCAATCTAAATGTTGTCAATTCATTTCTATTTGTAGAGGGCTTTACAGAAATGAATGCTGTTAATTTTTGTAAGGCCTATTAGTCCAGATTTTAGCAGTTAAGAGCTGAGCAATAGGATAGTTGAGATTTGCTATATATTACATATAATAGTTGTGTAATTCACTTTTGATTGTTCAAGCAAAAAACAGTAGTTCCACTGAATAATTTTCCGAGGCTTCTGGGGCATATGGCTTCCTCCGCTGCAGTCACGTCCCTGGGGTTGATGCATATGAGACCGCTTCAGCATTGACTTCAGACTCGATTCCCAAGATGGGCATGGCACCGCGGCACACATCGCGTGGTCATCACAGCGATTTACCGCCGTTTATTCAGTCCTTGGTCAGAGTTCCTGAATGAGTGTGTATTATTGTTGTCACAACAGACTCCTCTGAGACCGGCTGGGACACTGTATGCAACGGGCACCCAGACTGCGCTGGCACATCAACTGCCTCAATTGTTGGCCATGCAACTAGCTCTAAGGAAATTTCGACTGTTGATTCAGGGCAAGCAAGCTGTGGTCCAGACAGACAACACAGCAACAGTGGCATATATAAATCGCCAGGGTGGCATCCAATTCCATTGCATGTCACACTCGCAAAGTCAGAGAGGAAGAAGAACAAGTCCAAATGGTTGCGCCCTACTGGCCCAACCAGACTTGGTTTTCGGGACTCATGCTGATGACGTTGGCCCCTCCCTGGTGGATTCCCTGAGGAATAACTCTCTTTCTCAGGGCCATGGCACAATCTGGCACCCGCGCCCATACCTCTGGAACCACCACGTCTGGTCCCTGGACGGGACGAGGAGGAGGAATTCAAAGGACTATCACCAGCGGTGATAGATACCATTACTCAGGCCAGAGCCCCCTCTACTAGGCGGCTCTACGCCTTGAAGATGTGCCTCTTTACTACATGGTGTGCTTCCCAAAGTGAAGACCCATGGAGTTGTAATGTCGGCTTGGTACTTACCTTTCTTCAACGGGGTAGGTCCATAGGAAAGCACGACCTGATAGTTAGGTTCCTGAGAGGTGCATTGAGGCTAAACCCTCCTAGACCTCACCTTATCCCCTCTTGGGATCTCTCTCTGGTCCTTCAGGCCCTGCAGAGAGATCTGTTTGAGTCCGTACAGTCCGTCAAGCTTAGGGCCCTCACTAAGAAAACTGCCCTCCTGATTGCACACACTTCAGTCCAGAGGGGGGGCTGGGCGGGGGGGGGGGGGGGGGGGGGGGATAGGGGCCTAAAAGCCTTCTCCATTAGTGAATTGTGCCTGGAATTTAGGCCGACCTACTCTCACGTTGTACTGAGACCCTGGCCTGGATAGCCATGGACTACTACTTTCAGGTACCAAGTGGTAAACTTGCAAGCAAACCCTCCTGATGAGGGAGACCTAGCCCTGTCTCTGCTGTGTCCAGTGTGCACTCTGTGCATCTATCTAGACCCGGACACAGAGCTTCAGACGAGCGGAGCAGCTCTTTGTCTGCTTTTAAGATCAGCAGAAGGGGAAACATGTCTCCAAACAAAGAATGACCCACTGGATTGTGGATGCCGTTCTCCGGGCTTATCAGGCCCTGAACATACTGGAAATGAGGGCTCACTCTAGGGATATCGCAGCTACATCGGATCTAGCAAACAGTGCTTCATTAGCAGACATATGTAGAGCTGCAGGCCCAAAACTTTTGTGAGAGTTTATCTACGCATGAAAACAGTTTTGTCTCGAGATAGCAGTTAAAACTCAAACTGGTTGGATGCACTGGTTGCATTAGCACCTTTTCCCTCTCTGAGGTGATAACATGCGCTTTTTAGGTCCATTTTCCCTTGAATGATGAACCCTGGGCCACCCTTCACCTCCACCTCCATCACTTAAGCACTATTGCGATGGATGAGTTCGGCGGGAGAACTCACTACCAAGCTCATTACTCGTGGTATGCCCCTTTTCAGGTGAGCCCTTGTAATCTGGCTAGTTGTCTGTATGTAGTGGTTCCCTAACGGTGACCCCATACAATCTATTCTTTCACTTTTCAGTTTCCTTGTCTGTAAACCAATGTCTTCCCCTGGACGGAGATAGCTCGTTCATCAGTCGCTGTGAAGCCGCTAGTCTCTCCCTCCTTAAGTGGAGGCCACCACAGAAACTCTTTCCTATGTAGTACTCCCTCTAGAAAGGCCCACTCCTCTACAAGTCTGTGGGCATTTGTCATCCAAATTCACCCTACGATCCCTCCGGCCCATAGTGCGCCAAATGGCAGCTTATTAACATGGGCGTTTTTCCATGAACCCACGTTTGGGACTAACTCTGGTGAGTCCATAGTATGTATTTTCCACATGCTAAATGTGGTCTCCGTAGTGTTTCTTTCTCGGTGAGGAGGAGAATGCTTCCCAACGTTAACAACCAGGTTTCCTCATCATAAAATAAAACTTTTCTTTAGGAAAATCAGAAGAGTCCTATGGCTTGAGTGACCTCCCTAGAAGAGGTGAGATGGTCCTCTTGGTTGGAAGGCCTGAGGTCCTTACCCTGGGCATTGGTCGGTCGCAAGTTAGTGTAGTTGCACTTGCGCAGTTGCTCAGTTGGCACATGGAGGCTTGCCCGCATTTGCACTGCCATGCCTTGTGACACAGTTCATGTTGTGGCGTTTAGTATGGGGACTCCTAGTGTCGGTATTTCGAAAGTGACCGACATAAAGGGAACATCTCGGTTATTGACGCAACCCTCATTCCCTGATGGAGGGAACGGAGACATTGTGTCTCTCCTGTCAAAACCAGAACTGCATCTGAGGGGTTTGAGATGCTGTCTCATTTCCTCAGAACAAACCTTAAGTATGTGTGCAGCCGAATCGCCTTATATACCCATATGTCCAGGGGTGTGTCCTGGCATGCAAATTTCACACACCAATTCCATTGGCTTTTTCAGAATACGTCAGAAGTGTTTGGGGCTCTCAAGGGGAACGAGGGTTACGCCAGAAACAGAGACGTCCTCCTAGACTACACAGTCCAAATATAATGTCAATTATTACGTGGAAATTTATTGAACCGCAAGATCAGATCCAACCATAAAGATGCCACTATATGAGAACAGACCCAAACTGACCACAAAATGTGATATGAAGTCATTATCTGCCTGGATGAAAAGCAATATTTCACAGCACTTATGTGTGAATCTGTGATCAGCTCATATTTCCTTCCCAAAATCAGAATAAAAAAAGAAACCTATATTTAACCTCGTTTTTCTTTTTGCATTGTAACATTATGTCCTTCAAAAAATGATTCATGTTTCTATAACTCAACTGGATGGTTACCATTTATTATTATTTTTTAGTGTAAAACAATGATTTCAAAAGCATGTTAAAAACAGTACAGCAAACACTAGCTGGATGTATAATTAGTTTTTGTATAATGGTAATTATTAGAGTTGAGGGTGAAATGTGCCTAATGGTCTATGATAACAGAATCTTTGATGTTAGATTTGCATGAAAAACATGCCACAAAATTGTCATGAAAATGTCTCAAAAAATAGGCGCCGTTTTTAAATGATGACCCTGACATTTTTGTGAGAATCACCGGTAACACTTTATTTTGCAGTGTTCGTCATGTTACATGTAGTTACTCTAGTAATAACTATAAATGATGCATAAGTACATGCAACTAACCTAACCCAAATCCTAAAGTAAGTACATTTGGTTAATTATTATTACTCAGTACTTAATGTATAATTACACTGTAACAAGTCACCTTAAAATAAAGAGACCTTGACCACCCATATTGTACATCACAGTCTTTACATGGGACTCCCAAGAATACCATGTTTTTTTAACGTCCCTATAATGCATTCTGATCCTTATTTGTTCTTTAATGAACATCTCGAGCACTGGTTGGTTTGGTGTTCCCGCGGCGAGTGAGTGCACTTACCGCCCAGCGTGGCGAAGAAGCCCTCGATGTAGCAGCCCGTGACCCCCAGGACGAAGTATCCGTGCAGGGCCGTGTAGAGCGTGACGGTGAAGCCGCCCACCACCATGAACAGGTCGGCCACGGCCAGGTTGAGCAGGATGAAGTTGAGGGGCGTGCGGAGCTTCTTGTGCTGCACCGTGACGTAGAGCGTGAGGAAGTTTACGGGGAATGAAGTGGCGATGAGGAAGAGCATATACGCGGCCAGAAGCGAGTACTTCCACGGCTCCGCTAGGTAATACTGCGGCTCCTCAAACGGGCTGCGGACCAAACCGGTCCTGTTGGACATCGGCACGTAGAAGTTCGGACCTTCCGTTCCGTTCATATTCGGTTCACTGGTTACGGATCAAGACAGAGAAAGGAGACAGACGAAGCTAGAAAGCGAATGAAGTCCTTGAGAGCGAGCGAGAGATCTGCTGCCCGGGACTCAAGCGTCCCTCTTATATGAACCCCATGTGCCCAGATTAATGAGATTACAGAGGCCATGCAATTTGGAGGAATTGAGTTACAGGCAGATTGGGGTCAGAGAGGCTTGATAATCCATGGAGGTAAACCGACTGTAAACACGGGAACACTTTCATTTTCCACCCCGTAACTTCAAAGAAATCAATACCAATGTATCTCTGAATGCCCACAAACACCGACTAGTGCGTTGAAGGCCGGTTCAGTGCGACACTGGAGGCTTCGCTTCTAAACCCAATTGCAAGTTTGTTGGAGTTTGTTGGAGTTCCATGAACTAGTCTTTAGACTAGAAACTTGCATTGATCGAGTCCAGCCAGATGCACTTGTAACTGACATAAATGACAAAAACAATTAATATTACTGAAATAATGCCGAATGGAAATAGAGAGCTAAAGTTCATTTATTAACCATCTTTTGAAATGACGATGTCTGTCATTTTAACAAACAGGAACATTTCAGAGCAAGACAAATCTCACAAAACATCATGTTTGTGCTCTTGGTTTCCCACCAAAAATTATATCAATTCCTAAAGGATGAGGACATAAAGTTAGTTAAAAGGATATTAATAGAGACTTACAAGATGGAAAATAACTTTGAGGACAGAAAAAAGAAATGATAAATTGGTTCTGCATTCAAAACACTGAAGGAAATATTTCCAACAATAATCTTTCAAAAATGGTCATCTCCACTCAAATCCAATCAGAAGTAGTGAAAGATATAAAAAAAGCTCCTATAATTCACTTAATTGTCAAAACTAGAATGACTTCCGTATTTTAAAAGACAATAAAAACACTTCAGCTCAACTGATAGGAAAACATGACAACAATACACATTAGAGCATAAATATGAAATCTTTATTTAAAAGGACAGTGAAATGGAGTGAGCTGTGTGTGTTTGTGTAAGTGTGATAAGGAGCATGTATGGACACACGCTGTAATCTACTTTGGCCGGTTGATCCCGGTAATCCTATCAGAGCTGCGCTGAGCTGGCATTTACTGACGGATTGGAGCAGCTCGATCCTGATCAGACCTCACACACACACACATTCAGCACACGCGGATGAGCTAGCTGGGCTCATCGATGGGTCTAGGGCAGTACACACTCTCACACACACACACACACACACACTAGGCGCTGGGCTCATCGATGGGTCTGCGGCAGTACGGGCAGCAGTTGTGCTGAAGAACCAACAGCTCGTAGTCCTCACTGTGAAACATCTTTGGAAAAGACAACAGAATGCAATCAAACATCACAGAGAGGGAACAGGCCGAACACATGAAGCCCGTGTGTGTGTGTGTGTGTGTACCTGAAAGCAGGACGGACACATGGTGATGCTGACGTCGGGCAGCAGGGATCGGTAGTACTGCCAGCTGAGAGGTTTGGGCCAGCGCTTGATCAGAACATCTCGCCTGGACATGGACCTCAACACCGGCCGACTCACGACCACCGGCACGAACTCCCGGCCACCCTGCTGTCAATCCCAGCACACCAAGACAAGTCAGGTCACCTTCACTTATATAGCGCTTCTAACAACATCACCCACGGCCCAGCCGACAGGAATGCTCTCTCAGAGTTATGAACAAATGTTCTTCCAGTAACGCTAATAGAACGTTCGTTCAGAGTTATCTGGTCTTTAATAATGTCTAAAAACGTTATTTACAGCGGGGGAAATAATTATCTGATCCCCTTCTGATTTTGTAAGTTCGCCCACTTACAAAGAAATGAAGGGTCTATCATTTTTATGGTAGGTTTATTTTAACGGATAGAGACAGAATATCAAACAAAAAATCCAGAAAAACACATTATATAAAGGTTATAAATTGATTAGCATTTGATCGAGTGAAATAAGAATTTGTTCCCCTTCCAACCAGCAAGAATTCTGCCTCCCACAGATCATGTGCCCACGTGGAACACAGATTAGTCCTGTCACTTTAAGAAAGTACTCCTAATGTCCTAATGTCAGTCGACACCGGCCCTCAGAATCTGTGTCTCCAGCATGAGCGAGAGCACAGAGCCGTCACGCGTCGGGACCTGTAGACCTGCACACGGCTGGGGTGGGCTCCAAGACCATCAGCAAGAAGCTTGGGGAGAAGCAGACGTTTGTTGGTGTGATTATTCAGAAATACAAAATGAAAAATCAATTGCCCTCGGTGTGGAGCTCCATGCAAGATCTGGCCTCACGGATGATCATGAGAATGAGATAAAGATGATCATGAGAATGAGATAAAGATGATCATGAGAAAGGTGAGGGATCAGCCCAGAACCACACGGGAGGAGCTTGTTAATGATCTCAAGGCAGTCGACCACAGTCACAAGGCAGACCATTGGTAACACTACGCCGCAATGGACTGAAATCCTGCAGCGCCCGCAAGGTCCTCCTGCTCAAGGCGGCACATGTGCAGGCCCGTCTGAAGTTTGCCAATGAGCATCTAATGATTCAGAGAAGGCTTGGGAGGAACTGCTGTGGCCAGATGAGACCAAAATGGAGCTCTTTGGCATCAGCTCAACTCAACTCATCAACTCGACTCAAACAAGCCGTGTTTGGAGGAAGAGAAACGCTGACTGTGACCCCAAGAGCACCCTCGCTGTGGTCAAGCACGAGGTGGAAACATCATGCTCTGGGGCGTTTCTCTGCTAAGGGTACAGGGTATTTATGAGGCCGATAGACGGGGCCATGTACCGTAAAATCTTGTACGAGAACCTCCGTCCCTCAGCCAGAACACTGGAGATGGGTCGTGGATGGGTCTTCCAGCATGACACTGACCCAGAACACCGCCCAGACAACAAAGGAGTGGCTCAAGAAGAAGCACATTAAGGTCTTGGAGTGGCTAGCCAGTGTCCAGACCTTAATCCTGTAGGAGATCTGTGGAGTGAGCTGGAACTTCGAGTTGCAAAGCGACAGCCAAGAAACCTTAAGGATTTCGAGAGGATCTGTAAAGAGGAGTGGACCAGAATCCCTCCTGAGATGTGTGCTAACCTGGTGACCAACTACAAGAAACGTCTTACCTCTGTGTTTGCCAACAAGGGTTTCTCACCATGCTTGGGGATCAAATACTTATTTCACTTACTGAAATGCAAATCAATCTATAACCTTTATATAATGTGTTTTTTCTGGATTTTCTGGTTGATGTTCTGTCTCTATCCGTTAAAATAACCCTACCATAAAGAGTATAGACCCTTCATTTCCTTGTAAGTGGGCGAACTTACAAAATCAGCAGGAGATCAGATAATTATTTCCCCCGCTGTATATTGTTCATGGAACAATTTATTTCTGAAACATTTGGTTGGACATTCATCTAATTTTCATTCTTTTTTTTTTGTTAATGCTAGTTTCAGAACATTCAGAGGACATTCAAAAGTAAAGTTCCCATAACGAATGATGAAATGGAATGTTCCCATTAAAGGATTATTCACTTCAGAATTCAAATCTCCTGATAGTTTACTCTCCCCACGTCATCCACGATGTTCATGTGTGTCTTTCTTCAGTGGGAAAGAAATGAAGGTTTTTGAGGAACACACTCCAGGGTTTCTCCATATAGTGTCTTCAATGGGGTCCAACGGGTCGAAGGTCCAGATGTGAGTTTCAGTGCAGCTTCAGAGTCTCGACACGATCCAGCCGAGGAATAAGAGTCTGATCTAGACAAACCAGCCGACATTTATAACAAAATACACATTTATATACTTTTAAACACTAATGCTGGTCTTGCTCTAGCTGTGATGCGACACACATTACGTGATCAGGGTGAAAGGTCACGCGTGACGTAGGAGGAAGAACAGACACAGTGTTTACAACGTGAAAGTGCAAAGACTGAGTTAAACTTTACACACAAAAAAAAAAAAAATTAAATAAAAGGTAAAACAACAATGTCGGACGATTTTGAAGTTGGAGGAGATGGAGTTTTTCGCTCTACTCTACATTTCTGAACCGGAACACGCGTGACCTTTCACCCTGATGACGTAATGTGTGTCGCATCACAGCTAGAGCAAGACCAGCATTAGTGGTTTAAAGTATATAAATGTGTATTTTGTTATAAATGTGCGCTGGTTTGTCTAGATCAGACTCTTATTCCTCGGCTGGATCGTGTCGAGACTCTGAAGCTGCACTGAAACTCACATCTGGACCTTCGACCCGTTGGACCCCATTGAAGTCACTATATGGAGAAACCCTGGAGTGTGTTCCTCAAAAACCTTCATTTCTTTTCCACTGCAGAAAGACACACATGAACATCATGGATGACGTGGAGGAGAGTAAATTATCAGGAGATTGTAATTCTGAAGTGAATAATCCTTTAACATTCACATAACCAACCATTTTTAAAACTGGACGTTTTAGCTCTTCAGAAAACATTCAGAAATAACGTTTTCATAATTGAATGGGAATGTGAACAAAACGTTTTTAGAACATAATATGGTTATCTGGGAAGGGTTTAGCATTTAGCAGACGCTTTTATTCCGGGTTCAAGCCTCGTCTGATGAACTAGTGCACTCGTAACACACGAGGAGAACAAACATGGCTTTGGCATCATGAAACAGTTTCTACAATGTCATGTGACTGTGTTTGAGTGTTTGAGGAATCGTCTGAATGATGAGAAAATGGCTATGATATAATTGGTTAATATTTTTGTACTTTTCCACATGGTAAGATGAGAAGTCTATTACAAGTTATTATGATGAAAGATAACCAAAGCGATGTGTCTTCTTACTAATGAAGGAATAACAGGAAAGTGTATTTATGAAAAATCATGTTTTTCATCTGTCAGTCTCACCTCAAAGCTGAGTTTGGCTGTAAAGGGGTCGTCCTCTGGGTCTTCAGTCCCATCATCCAGCTTCAGACACTGGGATTCTGACACACACACACACACACACACACTAGACAGTGAGTTTAGATTATATTCCGTCTCTAACGAGCTGCCAGATTACAGGTGTTGTCAATCAGAACTCAGGCGATAGGGAGCAGACAGAGATGGAGAGCAAAACAGGGATGTCACAACAATAAAATAACACATTTTTTATGTAAAAGACAATAGCTAGTCTTTATCCACTTGCCAATCAAATTGGGCAGTTCATTACACAAGAAACCAATGACCTTTCATCAGAACTTCATGGTTTTGCAAGGACTACAATCAGAGATCTCACTTATTAAACAATATCTATATTATCTTTCAAATAAAAAAAAAGGTAAATAGATAAATAAAAATAAACTAATAAAACAAAATGGTACAAAAAATGCAGCACAAGCAATGGCTGCGGTAACTTTAACCATTGAAAGGACACTATGACTAAGATATCGCTTTCCTTATTCAAACTTATTTTTCCCTCCATGAATATATGATTGAGCTGAAGAATAAAAGCTGTATCATATACTTTGTTATGAGGAATATTACGCTCATAGCCATGTAAAATGGCTCTATATCAGACGGGCTGCAGCGTTAATCTCGCATGAAAAGATAGTTTTATCAATAAAATTAAACACTAATTTCACATATATGGTCTTTCAATCATTTTCTGAAATATATAGCTGTTTTCAAGTGTTTTCCAGGGCTTAAATAAATTCAAAAAATGATTCAAAACGATTCTTTAAGCAGCTTGTAGGAACCCTGCTCGAGTCTCTAGTCTCCCTGAAACTGTTCTTTGGCTCGTCCTCCTGCGTATGGATGAATATGTATATATTGTGACGGAACGGCTGCCTCTCCCTTGCAATTACCGCCAGCCCGACCCTTAACTCGCCGCACATCGCCAGGTTCCCGACTGGAGTGTGTGTGACTGGAGTGTGTGTGTGACTGGAGTGTGTGTGACTGGAGTGTGTGTGACTGGAGTGTGTGTGACTGGAGTGTGTGTGACTGGAGAGGAGGATTGGCAGCGTGTGATGAGGCGCACCTGACGAGAATGAAGCCTCATCACCGCCGCTGTTAAATGCTGAGCGCGCCTCTCCTCGAGAGACCGGCCTCTTCCCCGTGCACGCTGGTGTCCCCGTGGGTCCAGGAAGGGAGTGCGGAGGGATTCCCACGCCGTCGAAGATGTGAGTCGCGGGCCCGCGGTCCGGAATGGAGAACACGCGTGACGCCGCTAACGGGCTAGGATGCCGGGCCGCTATTCTGTCAGTTGTCGGGGCCTAGAGAGGACAAGCCGTGATGCCGAAGCCGAAGCCGCCGCCGCCACCGCCGCCACCACCGCCGCCGCCACCGCCACCGCCGCCGCCACCCCTCGCGCATCAGACCGAGAGACGAGAGCGTGCGACCGCCGGACACCGCCCCTATCCTGGACCCATCCCATCTCTTCACTACCCTTCACCATTCCCTGGCACGACGAGGACACCAGACCCCCCTTTTGTTTTAACACTTTATTTCCCTCATTTTTGGACATTTCACTCCGAGGCCTGACACCACTCCCACTGTGTCTGTCGTTTGCTCCTCCCGCCACAATATATATATGTATATATGTATATATGAGGTGAAAGAGACGTTACCTCCGCTGCTCATCTCCTGCCAGCCGCTGCTTCTCTCCACGCGAGGCACTTCCAGGTCGATCAGAGACACGGCCTCCTCATCCGAGATGTCCTCCTCCAGATAAAACTCCACCAGCGGAAGAACCTCTGAACACACACCACACACACACCACACACACACACACCACACACACACACCACACACACCACACAGATATGTGAAACCAATGCCAAGATCCTGGCCCGCTATCCTCATCCTCCAGACAGCACATGTTCTGACGATGATCTCATCCATGTTTGACCAACACTGTGGAAAGGTTTGCCAAAAAACATTTCACAAACCTAATCAGTGTGGCAAATTTCATTAGGTTTTACCAGGCGGTCGACTAAGAGCCAGAAGAAACAGCAGAATAGCGAACCAACAAACAGAGCCTTCTACTGTTCATGCATTCCTGCTGTTCAGCAAGTAGTTGAACACCACAGCGGTTCTGCTGGACGGGCATCTGAGCCGCTCACCGTAAGAGGAGGCCGAGAATATGAACGGCTGTCTGCAGTTGATGCAGGAGTTGCCCTGGTTATTCAGCAACGGGTTGTTGGTGGAGCAGCGGAAACACATCGGGATCAAATCCTGCAGCACACACAAGCTTTACCAACAGGCACGCCTTCTGTCAACAGCTGTCACACACACACACACACACACACACACTCACCTCGCTGTCCCGGTAGGGTTTGGAGCGCACGGTTAGGCAGCTCAGCTCCATGCTCTCCTGATAGCGGGACGGGATCTTCAGGCCCTGCAGCTTCTCGAAGGCGTGTCGCGCTACTTTATACGCTCCCAGAACTTTACTCTGCTTGGCCAGAGCATACAGCGTATCTCTGAACCTCACGTCAAGGACACAAGCTATTACGCGGCAGCAGCCAATCATGACAGCATCTATGACAGTGGTCTCAAACTCGCGGCCCGGTGGCCCCTACTTGACATTAAAGTTTAATGTTAGTGTGGCCCGTCGTTGCGTATCCCTTATGGGCTACCATAGATAGTATCGTGACAGCTTACGGTGGGTTTGTTGTCAATAGTTGTCAACAAACCGCTAGCCGCACGACTACATTTGAAATAACGAACTTGAGCGCGCAAAATATGTGAACGGCCCCTCGGTGAGCTACCACCAATCAGGCCACGAGCGACGTGTTGGAGACCCCTGCTCTAAAACAATGTGAGAATAATCATTTTGAGCTTGTAATATGTGTCCAGCAGGTTGATAAGAAGGTTTGCTTTGAGACACCATACATGTGTAGAAAGAACTCAAGAAGACGGGCAGACATGACTGCAAATATTTGTATTTCAAAAGTAATAATTGTTTTTCTAAGTATAATAAAAGGAAATGTGCCTTCCAAAAAAACATTCAAGAGAGAGAGAGAGTGTGTGTGAGTGAGTGTGTGTGTGTGTGAGTGAGCGAGTGTGTGTGTGAAGGATACACTTTGGAGATGCCCATGGGAACGTCTCTGGTCAGGTTGTGGAAGAGGAAGCGAGAGATGTTGAAGAGGATCTCGGGCATGTTGGAGCTGAAGGGCTCCGACTGAAACATGAACAGCACATCAGAACACAGGCTCTGTTTAACGACGACTGATCCGGAAACATCGCTAACACACACTGTACACCGGAGTCCGTCACTCCTACCATGTATCGGTGGACGGAGTGGTAGACGTGATACAGCTCCGCCAAGTGCTGGAAACTGTGGAACTTCTTCAGCATCTCCTCCTTCTTCCCGGACTCCTCTAGAAGACAGCACATGTGTGTGTGTTCACACTCAGCCCACTGAACACACAGGTGTCTCACTGTAAAGCTCACACACACCTCGGGCGATGTCCAGGCACTGCATGGACAGCATCCAGTAGTAGTACGAGGCGTCGCTGAACCGGCTCTCCACCACTGCATTATGGGTAAGCTGCTCCAGCACGCGCACGGCCTCCGCCTGCCGGCCCGCCCGGTGGAACGCTGGGTTGGGTTAGGGTTGGGTTAGGGTTGGGTTAGGGTTGGGTTAGGGCCATCCAGCACAGGACAGGGGACAGAGAGGGACAGATCAGACTGAAGTGTGTGAATGCGCATGATAAATGCCACACGTGTCCAGATCAAACATCTGAACCAACACTGATTCTCTAATATAATACACAGACCTACAATGAGAGTAATATTAGCTGAAGCCAGTGAAGAACTACACTACCCACAATCCTTCAGTCAGACCCACTGATCAGTAAAGATGCTGTTGTCATGGAAATGGAAAACATTGTGAATGACGAAACAAAGTTATATTGTTATATTGCATGTATATATAGATACGTATCTCAATATTTTGTAGTACAAGTAATGTACATTGGTCTTACACTTAAACTTAATCATTTTAAATTAAAAAGTTGATTTTAAAGCTGTTAAAATGAACAAGCTAACATATGTGGCTGTTTTTTTAATTTAACGCGACAATTTTTAGAACAAATGCAATTACTATCAAATGTAATGACACTGGCATCCACGAACTCCAATGACCCTGCCTCCATCATCCGGTGAATTACTGGGAGATTTGAGTTGAAAACATTGACTGGTTTAGTGACAGAAATAAAGCGTGTTGCAGGCCCAGCGAAGCGGAGAGTAATTATCACGTTGCGTGAAGAGCTGCAGAACTGAGCATGTGAAACTTCATCTGCCAATTGTAATTAGCAGAGTAAATGACATGCCAGAGTGTCTGATGTGAACGGTGTGTGTGTGTGTACATGTTTTTCTATCCCGGTGGGGACTTAAACCTGAACACACACACACTCATGGGGACTCGTGTCACTGTGGGCCTAAACTGAGGTCCCCATGGGTAAACACGCTTATAAATCATTCACAATTATTTTTTTTTGAAAATGTAAAAATGCAGGATGTTTCCTGTGATGGGCAGGTTTAGGGATGGGGCCAGTGTGTGTGTGTGTGTGTGTGATGGGTAGGTTTAGGGGTAGGGTTAGTGTAAGGGGAAAGAATATACAGTTTGTACAGTATAAAATTACGTGGAGAGTGAATGGAGAGTCCTCACAGAGATAGTGGACCAGACATGTGTGTGTGTGTGTGTGTGTGTGTGTGTGACTGACCTCTCTGCGCCTCCTCGAAGCGGTCGTGTTCAGCCAGTGTGTGTGTGTGTGTGTGTGTGTGTGTGACTGACCTCTCTGCGCCTCCACGAAGCGGTTGTGTTCAGCCAGTGTGTGTGTGTGTGTGTGTGTGTGTGTGTGTGTGTGACTGACCTCTCTGCGCCTCCTCGAAGCGGTCGTGTTCAGCCAGTGTGTGTGTGTGTGTGTGTGTGTGTGTGTGTGACTGACCTCTCTGCGCCTCCTCGAAGCGGTTGTGTTCAGCCAGTGTGTGTGTGTGTGTGTGTGTGTGTGTGTGTGTGACTGACCTCTCTGCGCCTCCTCGAAGCGGTCGTGTTCAGCCAGTGTGTGTGTGTGTGTGTGTGTGTGTGTGTGTGACTGACCTCTCTGCGCCTCCTCGAAGCGGTCGTGTTCAGCCAGTGTGTGTGTGTGTGTGTGTGTGTGTGTGTGTGACTGACCTCTCTGCGCCTCCTCGAAGCGGTCGTGTTCAGCCAGCCACTGGGCGTACGGCACATACACCTCATCTCTGAACTGAGTGTGTTTCTCCAACAGAGAGAACGCCTGAGAACAAGCAGACACACACATCCGACACATCACACACACATCGCACACTCTTTCTCTACAGTTTCATCAGTGTTCAGTGAACAGCCCCAGGCAAGGCGGCGTCTCACTGACCACAGTCAGGGTCTTTGATGGACATGTGAGCTGCACACCAGCTCTTCTGAAGACTATTAGTTACTGCAGTTAGTGGAATAATAGTGGACGCTGATTTAGAGCCATTATTTCATGAGGCACGGCATTATTATATGAGCTTTATGGATGGAAATCAGCTGAATTAAAGAATTGTAATTTTGATCACAAAGTGATCAGATGGAGGACCTGCGTCTAGATACGACCACAACACATGATGTAGTCAGCCGGATCCGGGCCGTATCCAGATCAGATGGAGGACCTGCGCCTAGACACGACCACAACACATGATGTAGTCAGCCGGATCCGGCCCGTATCCAGATCAGATGGTGGACCTGCGCCTAGACACGACCACAACACATGATGAAGTCAGCCGGATCCGGGCCGTATCCAGATCAGATGGAGGACCTGCGTCTAGATACGACCACAACACATGATGTAGTCAGCCGGATCCGGCCCGTATCCAGATCAGATGGTGGACCTGCACCTAGACACGACCACAACGCATGATGTAGTCAGCCGGATCCGTCCCGTATCCAGATCAGATGGAGGACCTGCGCCTAGACACGACCACAACACATGATGTAGTCAGCCGGATCCGGGCCGTATCCAGATCAGATGGAGGACCTGCGCCTAGACACGACCACAACACATGATGTAGTCAGCCGGATCCGTCCCGTATCCAGATCAGATGGAGGACCTGCACCTAGACACGACCACAACGCATGATGTAGTCAGCCGGATCCGGCCCGTATCCAGATCAGATGGTGGACCTGCGCCTAGACACGACCACAACACATGATGTAGTCAGCCGGATCCGTCCCGTATCCAGATCAGATGGAGGACCTGCACCTAGACACGACCACAACGCATGATGTAGTCAGCCGGATCCGGGCCGTATCCAGAGCAGATGGAGGACCTGCGCCTAGACACGACCACAACACATGATGTAGTCAGCCGGATCCGGGCCGTATCCAGATCAGATGGTGGACCTGCACCTAGACACGACCACAACACATGATGTAGTCAGCCGGATCCGGGCCGTATCCAGATCAGATGGTGGACCTGCGCCTAGACACGACCACAACACATGATGTAGTCAGCCGGATCCGGCCCGTATCCAGATCAGATGGAGGACCTGCGTCTAGATACGACCACAACACATGATGTAGTCAGCCAGATCCGGCCCGTATCCACATCAGATGGAGGACCTGCGCCTAGACACGACCACAACACATGATGTAGTCAGCCGGATCCGGCCCGTATCCAGATCAGATGGAGGACCTGCGTCTAGATACGACCACAACACATGATGTAGTCAGCCGGATCCGGCCCGTATCCAGATCAGATGGAGGACCTGCACCTAGACACGACCACAACGCATGATGTAGTCAGCCGGATCCGGCCCGTATCCAGATCAGATGGTGGACCTGCGCCTAGACACGACCACAACACATGATGTAGTCAGCCGGATCCGTCCCGTATCCAGATCAGATGGAGGACCTGCACCTAGACACGACCACAACGCATGATGAAGTCAGCCGGATCCGGCCCGTATCCAGATCAGATGGAGGACCTGCACCTAGACACGACCACAACACATGATGTAGTCAGCCGGATCCGGGCCGTATCCAGATCAGATGGTGGACCTGCACCTAGACACGACCACAACACATGATGTAGTCAGCCGGATCCGGCCCGTATGCAGATCAGATGGTGGACCTGCGCCTAGACACGACCACAACACATGATGAAGTCAGCCGGATCCGGCCCGTATCCAGATCAGATGGAGGACCTGCGCCTAGACACGACCACAACACATGATGAAGTCAGCCGGATCCGGCCCGTATCCAGATCAGATGGAGGACCTGCGCCTAGACACGACCACAACACATGATGTAGTCAGCCGGATCCGGGCCGTATCCAGATCAGATGGAGGACCTGCGTCTAGATACGACCACAACGCATGATGAAGTCAGCCGGATCCGGGCCGTATCCAGATCAGATGGTGGACCTGCGTCTAGATACGACCACAACACATGATGTAGTCAGCCGGATCCGGCCCGTATCCAGATCAGATGGAGGACCTGCGTCTAGATACGACCACAACACATGATGTAGTCAGCCGGATCCGGGCCGTATCCAGATCAGATGGTGGACCTGCGTCTAGATACGACCACAACACATGATGAAGTCAGCCGGATCCGGGCCGTATCCAGATCAGATGGTGGACCTGCGTCTAGATACGACCACAACACATGATGTAGTCAGCCGGATCCGGCCCGTATCCAGATCAGATGGAGGACCTGCGTCTAGATACGACCACAACACATGATGTAGTCAGCCGGATCCGGGCCGTATCCAGATCAGATGGTGGACCTGCGTCTAGATACGACCACAACACATGATGAAGTCAGCCGGATCCGGGCCGTATCCAGATCAGATGGTGGACCTGCGTCTAGATACGACCACAACACATGATGTAGTCAGCCGGATCCGGCCCGTATCCAGATCAGATGGAGGACCTGCGTCTAGATACGACCACAACGCATGATGAAGTCAGCCGGATCCGGGCCGTATCCAGATCAGATGGTGGACCTGCGTCTAGATACGACCACAACACATGATGTAGTCAGCCGGATCCGGCCCGTATCCAGATCAGATGGAGGACCTGCACCTAGACACGACCACAACACATGATGTAGTCAGCCGGATCCGGGCCGTATCCAGATCAGATGGTGGACCTGCACCTAGACACGACCACAACACATGATGTAGTCAGCCGGATCCGGCCCGTATCCAGATCAGATGGAGGACCTGCGCCTAGACACGACCACAACACATGATG